AAGTTAAATTAAATATTTTTGTTATATGTTTATTATTATATGTTTTTTTTTTAGACGGACGTCACAATACCAAGATTAATTATTTGCCGTAATTAAATTTAATCCATCCATTTTAAGGCAACGAATCTACGAGATTTAATTACTTTGTAAAATAATTTATTGTCGTTATTCGACATGTACTGAGACATTTTCTCTACATTCAACATAATTAATCGTAGATTCGTTACCTCAATAAAAAAATTTTTTTAACTCACGGGTTCGATGCGCAACGGGCGGAGTTATTCTGCTATGTAGCTACGACGATACTGTAACAAACAAACATAAAATTCAAATAAAAGATGTGTTTAAATTTCAAAAGATAATTCTTATCGCGGAATTTTTAATTCATTTTATTAATGGATATTTACTTTAATGTAATCTATTTTCTAATAAAAAATTATTTAAGAATAAGGTTTTATAAAACATTTAAGTTTTTTTAACTATTTTTACTAAAATCAAATGATATAAATGCAAAAAAACTATTATTTTATATGGATAAAAAATTATATTTACCTCAAGGTTGCTCCGCCGATGCCCAATGTTTCTCCCAGACCATCTCCTCCTCTCAGGATTGGGTAGGCGATACTGTAACAAACAAACATAAAATACATTTGAAGGATGTGCTTAAAATAATTAACATTTCACATTATTTTGTATGAATAAAAAATTATATTTACCTCAAGGTTTTTGACGGCGATGCCCGATGCCTCTCTCAGGCCTCCTCCTCTCAGGATGAAGTTAGCGATACTGTAACAAACAAACATAAAATTCAACAATTGAGACAGGACAACTTTTAAGACATCTTATTCGATGGACTAAGAGTCCCAGAATGAGAGTCACTGCGCGGCGCGACCCGCCCCGACCCGAGTTAGGATTCGCGAAAAAGAGAGTAACTATGACTATCTCAAGACTCTCCCAACTACGGTATCTTTACAATCACGATTGCCTAGACGTCCTCAAGCAACAGTACGACGCGACCTTTTCGGGCCGTTAGGAGTTTAATAAGGGGAGTAATCTCGACTCTGACCCCGGGCCCAAAGAAACCCCGCGAGGGAATCAAGAACACCAAGAGAGTCGGAACTCGACCGCGAGAACTCCAAACAAACGCAGCACACTCCGGTATGCTGGCATTGCCAGGACCCTACCTTCCTTCGTTGCAAGGGCATTTCCCTCAGAACGGCGAGAGTACATAACTCTCAGACCTAGTAAGCCGTCTTCGGGGCAGCTTGCATATATATGCAATTGAGGCACTCGGTGTTAACTGGGCCTCAATAGCCGTGGAAGATGAGCTAGGCAGTGAGTTCCGACCTATGCCACCTCATCCCCTGCTCCAACTGTGGGTAATGGTCTATTGTACTAAGTCCAGGATAAGCCCGGACACAATGCAATGTGATAAGTCCAAACGTCGTGAGTGATCGGATAACCGGAGGGAGAGCCCGACTCTGAAGGCGCAACGAAACTCGTGAGAGTTTTGAAATCCCGCGAGTCGGGACTCCCGCGAGAGTCGTAGTTACATCTTTATTCGTAAAAAACTTACGAGTCGCGCGATACTTTTTACGGATTTTCCGACGCAACGAACCGTTTATACAATTGGCGACGAGACCAGGATGCGAAACACGAGAAACGCGAGAACCCATATATAGGATTCTAGTTCGCGGCCGGAGGAATTAGCATCTCAAGTCGACCAGCAGAAAAACACATCGTCAACCGCCCCGAACGAAAAGTAAGCCCCACGCGGAAGAAGACGAAATCAATCGTATCAAATTCGAGTAATCTCTGATCCGTGCATAAATCGCGCTCAAAATTGACCCGACCATACGCCCTAACTCACTATTCTTGACAGACACACAAGATGCTATATCTCGTGGGATATATCAAGGCACGTTCTAAACGACACACTTTATTCGAGGGACGTTCTCACATTCTTTGAAAGTCCCAAGGGCTAAAGTCTGATGCCGACAGGAATAAGAAGAGATTCTCCAAACATGAGCCCGGATTAAGGACTTAGCCTTACGGTAGTCTGGATGAAGTATCCGTCAGAGACTAGAGTCCGATCATCAAAGTGGAGATCCACCGGTAACCTGAAGAAGAGCCCAACCCTGACCCCGGGCCCAAAGAAAGCCCGAGAAGGAATCAAGGACACCAAAATAGTCGGAACAGTTGCACTCAACCTAGGACTTTCCGGCAACTTCACAAACGCGACTGCCCAGACGTCCTCGAGCATTAGTACAACGCAACCGCCAAGGACGGCCGCTAGGAGTTATGGCTCTAAACAACATTGACCTGAACTTCGTAAAGCCAGGACACCTGATCCACCTTCATTGCAAGGGCATGTATCCCTCAGAGGGCAAAATTCGAGTATACATGCCTACACTCAGACTCGCCGTCTTCGGGGCAGCTTGCAGTATATACGCAATTGAGGCACTACCACAGTGAGGTACTACTACAGTGGCGTGTAATAACCGGGCCTCCTACGTCTAGCAGGATGAGCTCAGGATAAGGTCGCCATAATATTGGCCTTACCCCTGCTCCAGCTGGATGTTGGTTTAATGTACTCAGTCCAGGATAAGACCAGACACAATACTCGATTAGTCTAAACGTTGCGAGTGATCGGATGACCGCAGGAGAGCCCGAACCTGACCCCGAGCCCAAAAAAACCACGCGAGGGGATCAAGGACACCAAGAAAATCGGAACTCCCGCAAGTCACAGTGTTCAGACATCGTAAATAATGTCGGAGAAAAGCCAGACCCCGAACCCGGGCCCAAAGAAACCCCGCGAGGGTATCAAGGACACCAAGAGAGTCGAGATTCTCGCGAGAATCACAATGTTGAAACATCGTGAGTGTTCCGGTAACTGCGCAAAGGTAATCCGGAGAACTCGACTCTGAACTCGGGCCCAAAGAAACCCCGCGAGGGAATCAAGGACACCAAGAGAGACGGAATTCCCGCGAGTCACAGTGTTCAGACATTGTGAACAATGTCGGAGAAAAGCCAGACCCTGAACCC